GGTCCACCCCAGCCTTTCAAACATCTCTTTTTGCAAAAACCAGTAACAGCATCACAGCTTTTATTATTGTGACAATGACAGATATAACTTTTGTTAAATCCGAAATTATAACCTGAAAATATAACATTATAATATTCGTTATAACAAACATTAGTTACAGTATCACATCATTCATTATATAAACAATGACAGGGTATAACTATTTCTATATCCAAAATTATAACCTGAAAATATAACATTATAATATTCATTACAACAAACACTAGCTATAGTACCACATCTTTCATTATATAAACAATGACAGGTATAACAATTGTTATATCCAAAATTATAACCTAAATATATAACATTATAATATTCATTATAACAAACAATAGTTACAGTACCACATCTTTCATTATATAAACAATGACAGGTATAACTATTGCTATATCCAAAATTATAACCTGTAAATATAACATTATAATATTCATTATAACAAACACTAGTTACAGTATCACATCTTTTATTATATAAACAATGACAGGTATAACTATTGCTATATCCAAAATTATAACCTGTAAATATAACATTATAATATTCGTTACAACAAACACTAGTTACAGTATCACATCTTTTATTATATAAACAATGACAAGTATAACTATTTCTATATCCAAAATTATAACCTGTAAATATAACATTATAATATTCGTTACAACAAACACTAGTTACAGTATCACATCTTTTATTATATAAACAATGACAGGTATAACTATTGCTATATCCAAAATTATAACCTGAAAATATAACATTATAATATTCATTATAACAAACACTAGTTACATCATCACATCTTTCGGTATATAAACAATGACATGTATAACTAATGTTATATCCAAAATTATAACCTGAAAATATTTTTGCGTTGCGCTATAACCATTGCCGTTTTGAGGATATGCGTTATTTTGAGAATATTATAATTAACGAAGAACAGTCGGCATTTTCCGGGTTCGATTTGGGTCTGGATTATGTAAAAAGTCTGCAGAAGAACTAGAACTGAACGAAATTCGCACAATCCGTTCAAATA